ATTCCTTTTATGTCAGTTATGGTCCATCCTAATGCATTTTTGTGCATTTTCAGAGTTTGTAATAACTTACCTTCTTGATGAACATTAAGTTTGGAAGAAATTATTACCGGAAAAGTTTCATTTTCTCCCAAAAATGAGTATTTGAGATTACATGGCAATGGCTTCAAATCAGGTTTTGGTGGTTGAACACTTGAAGGTATGGACCCAATTGATCGTGGTGGCAATTCCTCAATTTTTGGTCTCCAAATATTTGCCTTTGATTCTTCCTGAAAACAAACCATTTGTAAATCTTCAGATTCATTAAACTCAGTTTCATTGGAAGAATTTTCAAATTGATCGTAAATTATTTTTTCAATAAAATCTACTTCCTGTAAATCATTATCATCTCCAGGTTGCTTGCAAATGTTAAAAACATTCATTTTCAATGTCATGTTTCCAAAAGATAACTTCATCACTCCATTCCTACAATTAATCAATGCATTAGAAGTTGCAAGAAATGGACGTCCTAAAATAACAGGAATTGAATTGCATGCTTCAACAGGTTGTGTATCCAAGACAATAAAATCCACAGGAAAGATGAATTTATCAACTTGTACTAACACATCTTCAACTATTCCTCTAGGCATTTTTATAGATCTATCAGCAAGTAAAAGAGTAACAGAAGTAGGTTTTAACTCACCAAGATTTAGACTTTGAAAAACCGAATATGGAAGTAAATTCACACTAGCTCCAAGATCAAGTAAAGCTCTGTCAATTTTATGTTCTCCAATAAAGCAAGAAATTGTAGGACAACCAGGGTCTTTATATTTCAAAGCATTATTGTTCTGAAGAATGGCACTTACTTGTTCGGCTAAGAAGGCTTTCTTTTTCACATTCAATTTTCTCTTTACAGTGCATAGATCTTTCAAAATTTTAGCATAAGATGGTACCTGTTTAATAGCATCTAGCAAAGGTATATTAATCCTTACCTGTTTGAAAGTTTCAAAGATTTCAGAATTGTGATTGACTTTCCTTTGTTTGGTCATGGCATGAGGAAATGGAAGTGCTGGTGGGGAATCAGTCTCTTCCTTGCAATGATCAGGTTCAACCATTTCCTTACCCTTGGAGACTAACTCATCTTCTTTCTCACAAGGTTCAAGAATAGGTTTTTTAATAACCTTACCACTGCGGAGAGTAGTGACTGATTTGACTTGATCCAGATGTTGGCTTCCAGAACTGCTTGTACTTGAATTGTATTGTCCCTTGGGATTTTGCTGGGGTTGAGATGGAAACTTACCTTTCTCCTGAAAACTGAGAGCAGATGTGAACTTTGCAAGAGTATCTTTCAAATCAGCCATGGTTTGAGCATTTTGAGTGTTGATTGTCTCTTGCTTTTCAATGAATGCATGTAATGTTTCCTCAAGATTTCTTCTAGGAGGGGGAATATAAGGAGGTGCATATCCATGAGAATTTTGAAAATTATGTTGTGTTTGAAATGGTGGCTGTGAAGTTTGTGCATTATTGTTACCACTCTTCCAACTGAAATTTGGGTGATTTCTCCAACCAGGGTTGTACGTTTGTGAGTACGGGTTATGACTTAGTCTTTGGAAACTATTTAAAGCATTGGCTTGTTCATGGAGACATTCCTTAAAAGAAGGCAACGTGGGACAATCATTGGTTGAGTGTTCATTGGTTTCACAAATTTGACACACAATTTCTTGAACAGATTTTAATTGACCACTCTTTTTTAATTCTAGTGCCTCAACTTTTCTAGCTAAAGATGCAAATTTGGCTTGGAGGTCATGATCTTCCCTAAGGCTATACATGCCTCCATTAGATGTATGAGGTTGAGTTTTACCTGGTGCCTCACAAGTACCTGTGGTGTCCCAATTTTGAGCATTTTCAGCTAGCAACTCTAGGTACTCCATTGCTTCATTAGGGTCTTTATTTTCAAAAGTTCCATTGCACATCAATTCTACCATTTGTCTATCTTTAGGTGTTAACCCTTCATAAAATTGTGAAACCAATCTCCATGTTTCAAAACCATGATGAGGACAGGTATTAAGCAAGTCTTTATATCTATCCCAACATTTATAAAATGTTTCTCCTGGTTTTTGAGTAAAAGTGGTGATTTGTCTTTTGAAAGAGTTTGTTCTATGAGAAGGGAAAAATTTCTTTAAAAACTGTTGTTGCATTTCATCCCAAGCATGAATGGATCCTGACCTAATATTTTGTAGCCATGTTTTAGCTTTATCTTTTAACGAAAAAGGAAAAAGCTTTAATCTGATAGTGTTCATGCTACAATTTAAGTCATTATAAGTGTTACAAACTTCTTCAAATTCTCTTAAGTGCAAGTATGGATTTTCTAATTCTAAGCCATGAAAAGTGGGTAAAAGTTGAATAATACCTGGCTTAAAATTAAAATGAGATGTATCAGGAGGAAAAACAATACATGATGGTGCACTTGTTCTTGTTGGATTCATATGATCTCTAAGTGTTCTAACACGATTATTCTCATTATTCTCATTATGAATTGATTGGTTATCTTCTTCGGCCATGTTTTCTAAAGAAAATGATGATTTTCTAGAAAGTCTACCACTTAATGTACGTGTCCAAACTCTCATGCAAATATAAAAGAAAAGAAAAAAAAAAAAAGAAAAAGAAAAAGAAAAAGAAAAAGAAACAACAATTAGAAAAACAAATAAAAGTGAAAATAAAATAAAATAAAATATTTAATTTATACAATAACTTACCTCTCCGGCAACGGCGTCAAAAACTTGACACGATCAAAGAGTTGATGTCTTATCCCAAGTGCAGGAGTGTCAAAGTAAAATAACCCGGCAAGACCGGGGTCGAACCACAGGGAGGTGAATTATATAAATTACAAATAAAGAAAAAGATTTAAAGAGAATAATAACAGAAAAGGAGTTGAAGAAAGTTTTGGGATGTGATATTGATGTAAGGATTAAACAATAACAAAACATATGTCAAGGTTATAGGATTCACTAATGGTATTTCAAATAAATATAATATAAACTCTTTTTATTACTCAACTAGAAACCACACACAAAGGACGTTCTAATCGGATGATTTCTCGTTATTAGCTCATTATAAATTACTAACATGATCATATTAATTATCTTATATAAGTAATACCATACTTATAAATATCATCAAGCATTCATGTTGCTAGTTTATGTTAACAACAAATCAAGTTTCTATCATAATAACGATTTCGGCCGAAAACTATGAAAGATCAAGCATTTGATGTACCAAATATTATACAACACAAATCTAAATTAAACATTTAATAAGCAAGGTATTAAGAATTAGTAAGATAAAAAGATAAAACATGTTAATAACAATCTTTCTTGGATATAAACATTTAAAGCTCATGTTGAGTTTATATTATACCTATTCTAACACCATTAGAGAAACCTTTTCACCTTGACATAATTAACTTAGCTAAACATTAAGAAGGAGAAAAACACAAATAAACAATATAAGAACATAAACATAATATAAGCTAACTAAGTATAGGAAAGGAAATGAAAGAGCATAAACAAGAGATTACTATAGCATAAAAGAAAACTTGAACATTACAAAGATGTAAAGAGAAAGCAAGAAGATAACTTTTATCTAAAAATTAATATATGACTAAATACATGGACAATGCCTCCTTTTATAGGCTAAGTTTCAGAACTATTGATTGATTGAAGAATTAGTGGGCATCCATTGATTTGGTGGCTGGTTTTTGACATTAATGGTTGCTGGTTTTTTGATATTGTGGGCTGATTTTTGATATTGTTGGCTGGCCAAAACGTCATTGCTCACATCAGAATTATAGCCAACTGAATTATGGAAGCTGTGGGCAATTGTCTCAGCTTTCCATCAAAAAAAACCAGAGCTCATTTGGACTTCTAGAACTCAAGATATGAGCCAAAAACCGAATAGTGCTTGAGCTGTAGGACAGCTTCCGACGTCTTCGTTGTTGCTAAGATTTGGGCTTGAAAACGGCAGAACTGAGTCTTTGACTTCATATGAAAGTTGTAGGTCTATGTCTTACCTTTCCATTAATATAAAATGGACCTAAATCTGATATCTACAGCTCCAGATATGATCAAATTACTGAACGGTGTTCGAGTTTGGAATGCACCAGCAACACTTTGCTAAGTTTGGCCTTCTTTTTATCCTTTCAATTTCAATCCTTAAACTCATCAATCAATCCTTTTATTTATGTGATAGACCTGCATTTAGGATGAACATTTACCATGAATTAAAGGTATATTATATTTTTAGACTTGCTAATATAAAACATGCTTTTGTTAGGGAATTTAATGATACTTTAGGTGCAATATGATGACATAAATCCTTAATGAGAATGCACTTTTAAGTACTAATCACTTACCTTTTCATCTATATAAAGTAGACCTAAATCCGAGATTGACAACTCTAAATATGACCTAATTATCGAACAGTGTTTCAGTTTAGACTGCACCAGCATCTCTTTTCTAAGTTTGACTATCTATTTGTCCTTTCAATTTTAGTTCTTAAACTTATCAATCAATCATTTCATTTATGCGATAGGTCTCCATTTAAAATTAACATTTACCACAAACTAAATGTATCTTATATTATTAGATATATTATTATAAAACATGTTTTAGTTAAAGAGTTATTGATACTTCAAGTATAAAATGATAATATACAATCTTGATAAAAATACACTTTTAATTACTAATCAACCACCTAATTTACTTGATTTTCTCACTTTAGTTTTTTATCTTTCAATTCATCCCTCACTATTTTTAAAAAATAATATCAAGGGATTAAAATATTTTTTAAAAAAATATATTCTTTATTTTATACCAACATGGGAGATGAGAAGAATAATAAAAAAAACTACGTCTTTTTAATTTTAATTTTATGTATTATTATTATTATTATTATAGTGGTAAGGCTGATATCGCTTAACTTAATAATAATATAAAATTAAAATCCCTATGTAAAATAAAACAAAGAAAGCACCTTCCCAGGTCCCCATCCTTTTATCATTTTCTCCAAAACGACAAGAAACCTGGCAAATCTTGGAGGCTTGAGAGCCCGCTTGTCTTTGAAGCAAGCTGTATCGGATTGCCAAGACGACGACGAAGACTGTCGCCCTTGGCGTCATAGGCTTTCCTCTTCTATGGCTTCTTTTTCATGGGCTTCTCTTCTTAGGATCACCATCTTTCTTCTCCTTGTTGCCGCTGCTGTTTTTGCCTTCTTCACTCTCCCTGTTGAAAAGGTTTCGATTTTTCTTCTCCCCTTTGTCTCTTTAAGCTTTCTCTTTTCTTTTCTGTGTCCGATGGCGCCTCTTTTGATGTGGGTTTCTTTGTTTTTGCTTTGATTTGTGGGATTTCTTTGATACATGGCGTATTGGTTTCTTTTAGTGGTGATGCAATTGTGGGGGGTTTTACTTTTAGGGAATGTTGTGGCCTGTCGTGTCTGTTTGTGGAATTTCTTGGAAATTGAGGTTAATAGGGTGTGTTTCTGTGCAATGTGATTGTGTCCCAGATTCATTTTTATGTAGGCATATGTGATTTTGAACTGAATTTGATTCTTCGTTCAATGTTTGAACTGATGGGACACGCACTGGTTTTTTTGCGGGCTGATCAGAGACAAAAGATGGTTGCTTTATCTGAGGTTTATAAATATGTGTTCTGTTGTTATGGATAGGGTTCGGCATTTATTCAGAGTAGTTCTTACTTAGTATTTAACTGTAATGTGATCTTTATTCTCTCTGCGATCCACTCATTTCAGCTGTTTATTTTGATGTGGGGAAATGTGGTGAGGTTCGATTGCAGGAACTGGACTTTGTTCTGAACAAGTAGATTCCTTGTCGTGCTCTAGTGGATATTTTGTGTGTTTTTCCCAAGTCTCACATTGAGTGTCTTTGGCCTGTGATCATCTCACCGGTTTTGTTAAATTTTGCTGATGATGATTGATTATACTTGCATTTGTGTATTTACCGGAGAGATTTTCCTTGCAGATTTTGAAGGATTTCTTGTTATGGGTTGAGCAGGATCTCGGGCCTTGGGGTCCCCTCGTACTGTAAGTCAATTTTGTGCACCATTTTCCTTGTATTTTTAATTTTCTTGATATTAAATTGTTTTGTTCTTGATTTCCCTTCCATGCTGTGTATGGCCTTAATTAGTTCCAATTCCTTTTCATTGGGAAACCTGCTGCCTTATGATTTCTCATACTGTAATCAATCACTTGTGTATTTATGTTTGTAAACCCTTTTTTGTTGTTGCTGCTTTAAATTAGTCAGACACACCAGTCACACAGCACATTGAAATCAATTGACCTTGCAGCTCACTTTTATTTTGCCACTTGCAGGGCCATTGCATATATTCCTCTAACAATCTTGGCTGTTCCAGCTTCAGTGCTTACTGTAAGGATTTATACCATTTCTGGTGCCTTTTCCTGCTTGGTTATCTTTCCTTAATAATTTAAATAATCAATCCTTTCATCCTATTGTTTCATCCAATTGGCTTCTATTTTGCTTATCCGCCCTTTGTTTGTTCTCTCACTTCTGCTATCAAGATCATGCACTCCCAGTTATTTGATTTGTATCTCTCTCCATTTGCATATATTCAAGTAGTTGTGGAAGAAAACTTATCCTGTGTAAGCTCTATTTCTCTTGTAACTTGGTCTCCATATTTCAGCTTGGTGGTGGATATCTTTTTGGGTTGCCTGTGGGCTTTGTTGCCGATTCTATTGGCGCCACAGTTGGTGCTGGGGCAGCATTTCTTCTAGGAAGAACAGTAAGTTATTAGACTCTTGCAATGGTATATACTTCCTAGTTCCAGCAGCATAATATGCATAGAAGGAGAAAAGGTGCATCCTTTTGTTACATATGCTTAATCACTCACCTGAGCTTGCGTTTGTTCTTTGCTATTAAGGGCTTGGGAAAAAATGGAAACATACATTTTTTTATGTATTTTCATTTCCTTTTGGTTTTCTCTAACTAGCTAGAGGTTTTGTAGTTCCTATGTTTGATACTGCAAGTGAGTGTTTAGTTTATGTCTTATTCTGGTGCCTTCAGATTGGTAGATCTTTCGTTGTCTCCAAGTTGAAGGATTACCCGAAGTTTAGTTCAGTTGCAATTGCTATTCAGAAGTCTGGCTTCAAGGTTTGTGTACTTCATATTTGATCCTCAAAACTTCTGTGGTTTTGTTGCTACATATATTTGCAAGTTCCTTGCTATTCCTCTCTTGTCCATTATTTCTATCATGGCTTACTTTTTGGTTGTGCAGATTGTTCTGCTGCTTCGACTTGTTCCTTTACTGCCTTTCAACATGCTGAATTACCTGCTGTCCATCACTCCTGTTCCAATAGGGGAATACATGCTGGCTTCCTGGATAGGAATGATGGTATGTTCACTCATCGAACTGTACTTGGTGAATTGATTTTAATGCGTTATCGAGATACAAAAGCCTTATGAAATGCCAAATATGTATTTAAAAGAGATTTATTTTCATGTGGATCAATTGAAGGATAGCATTGGTGCTTGATGGGCCTGTTTAATCATGTTGTTGATGTGATGTGGTCTCAACTTTGATTGCCCCTATGTGATATAAACATTAAAACATGTTCTGACATGATTTTTACTGGCATGTTGTGCACTGATTAAAAATTTTTTAGTGTGAGGATTACTGACCAAAGGGAGGGAGTCCTCACCCCATAGAAGAACAACTAACTTGTTATTATTATGGGTGGTACTTGATGATTTGTGTGATCAGTTGTTATGCTTAGTGCTTTCATTAAGCTTAAGCAATGTTTAGTTTATGGAGCAAACATTTCAGTTGCTGGCTAGTTTGTCTGTGTATATCCAGAAAACAAAGAGAGAAATTAAATTGATGTTTAAAAAATGTGAAATTCTAGGTTTTCTTTTGTTTTCAGTTCTTTTCCAAAATAGTTATGACCTTCTAATTATGTTAGCTCATGAGATATGCATGGAAGAACATAATTGAGAAGGTAGTGCTGGTTTGAATCACTTCACCGTATCTAACATGGTATTTCTTACAGCCAATAACCCTTGCTTTAGTGTACATTGGAACGACACTCAAGGATCTTTCTGATGTGACTCATGGGTGGAGTGAGTTTTCAACTACTCGTTGGGTAAGGACCCTATCCTTTTCTTATATGCTTGAGTTTGGTTTTGAGTCATTTTCTGATATATAGGTCTCCATTGTTTATTTCTTTCCCTGTTTTTAACCACCCAGTTCATCTGTAGTCTGATATATTTGTGACTCTTGTACTGTGGATGTAGGTTCTTATTGTATTGGGCCTTGTTGTATCTGGTAAGTTGCAATGATCCACCAGCATGCTTCTTTATTTTTCTTTGCCTTGCTGTTTTTATTTTTTTTAATGCCCAATTGGAGAGTTTTGAGAGGCCATAATTTTTTTAATCATAATTGTCACAAAATATTAATGCCCTATTTAGTGAAAAAGTCACCACCAATTGTGAAGTGCCAATTATAATTACTCAGGATCGCTTTCCAATTTTGATCATTTTTGCCATTTTGTTCAAGATTTGAGAACAATGAGGAGATGATGGTACTCACGGGAGTTGGCGGCTTTCATTATATATGAAATAAGTTAAATAGAAGTGAACTCGGAGAATGTTTCCATGTTTTGTTGAGTCTTGTTTACTGAAAATGTCAACATTGTTTGGTGCCACTTATAACTACATAGGATTTGTTCATCAAGTTGGATCCTACAGCCCTGTGGTTCAAGGCTTTGAGGTTTTAGGACAATAGGGAAATAATGGTAGTATAAAGTAGCTGGCGATTGTCAACATATGTCAAGGAGCCAAATGAACTCAATGTATGTGTTGTGTGGCCATGTCCATGTCAGAGTCTTTCACCGATTAAGTGATAGTTGGGTGGGATATAATCCAGTGCTATGATGAACTGATAAAGAAAATGACATGTGAAACAAAAGGAGAAAAAAAGTAACAAAATTGCAGAAGGAAGTGCTCAAGAATTTTTATATGAAACTCTTCTTCAAAGCTATCCATTAGATGGTGATCATGCAAGTGAAACTTAGAAACTGACCAGTAATTTTCTTTTTACTTTTCAAAATTGGCTCTTAGATTTATGAATGTTAGAGAGTTGCATTGGGCTTTAGTATCATACATTACCTCAAATTGAAGTCTAATGACTACTTTTGTTTGACCTGATATCTTGTCTGAACTCTGCCTATGGTTACAATTTTCACTTCTGTTTCTTTTCTTTGCAGTGGTTCTTATGTTCTGTGTTACTAAAGTCGCCAAGTCTGCTTTGGATAAAGCTTTGGCTGAAAACGAGGATCTAGATGTCATTTTGGCATCACCTCAATTGCCCATTGTGGCAGATACTTCTGTTAATCTGAACCAGCCTCTCATTATCAAGATCGACCCGTCTGAAGATAACCATGAACAATGAGATTCTTAATTTGTGTAAATTCTTTTCCTACCGCATTTAAAGGCAATACTCTTATTTTAGTTTGCCATTTAGTGCCCGTTATTTGTTATTCTGCTTATTTGTACAGTAGAAATCTTTTACAAAAAAAGTAAAAAACAAATAAAAATGTAGGTTTGGGGTGTAAGTGGTTGATCGGCATTTGTTGAAGTGAGCCTATAATTACCGAAGAATGAATGATATAATATTGTCTTCAATGCGATTTGCCGCATTTGGAACAATTTTGGAGTGAATCTTGTTATTTCAAAGCAACACGAAGGGCTTAGGACATGTCCTTTCTGTTCCACTCTATTTTCCGAAACAGTGCGTGTTATAGCGTATGCTTTTATTATTTATCTAACCTCAACTCAGGGTTTCTATTCTTAACAAATGTTTGTAACCGAACTTATGAAAAGAAAATAAGGACCGGACCATGCATGGTCTGGATATCCTTGGATCATCGCATCCTTTCAACTATGGATTCTTGAAGGTCAATTTCTGATGTTTGAGTTTGTTTATAAAGAGTATTTTGGCCATTAAATGAAACAATTTTTAAGTATAAGTGTGTTTCGTTTCTCTAAGCTACACTCCAGTCTTCACCCATTTCTTCAACAACACTCGAATCTTTGCTTTCCAATTTTCGACGCTCCTCTCTTCCTTCAATTTGCAAAAAAATAATAAAACACCCACCAAAAAATGGGCCTTTCATGGAGCAATACTAGAAGAAGAACCACCACTTTTTATCACCCACCGCCACCACCACCGCCTTGCTGTTATCATCATCACGCGGAACCCATCTCTCTCCTTCCTCCTCCCCCACCACCACATCAAAGTCACTACACCACCATGCACCAACCACCACCCTTACAATCTTATCCTCCACCCAACAACCCCTATCCTACCCACATTCCACCTCTAGTTCACCACTACTGCAATTCCCACCATTACCACTCATGCAACTATGCAAATCACCAACCTTTTTATTATACCTGTCAACATCAGCCTACTGGTGGGTGGTCTCCGGTAATCAGACCTCACGTGGGTTTTACTTCAACTATTAATGCTGCTACTGCACAACCAATTCTGCCGGAGCCAGCTCCTTTTGTGGATCATCAGAACGCAAAGAGGGTTAGAAATGATGTCAATGTTAATAAAGATACTTTAAAGGTTGAAATTGATGTTTCAAACCCTGATCATCACTTGGTTTCTTTCGTTTTCGATGCATTATTTGATGGGAGGTTAGTGTTTGATTTGCTAGTGTTAGATTCTTGGTTTTATTGTTGAATTCTTGATTTTGCTTTGTTAAAGTAGAGGTTTCTGATACGTTGGTTGTTGGTTACATGATTCTTGATTGAGGGTTTAGCTTCTGCTGCTCAATTAACATGGAGGATTTGTTTGGTGATTGACTATAATGAATCCCTGTAGTAAAATCTGAGGGTGAGATTTTCTAGTGTTTTGAGTGACTGAATGAATTGAAAAAAGATTATGAGTGACCATCTCCGATAAGGAATGATCTCAATTTAGATTATCAGGTGACCTTTTTATGTTGAAAACATTGAGTTGAGCAAATGTTGATGAGTTTTCACAGTGTGATTTTGATGGCAATTGGGGCGTAGGAGGATATCTCAAGTGATAGTGTGCGTTGACGGAGGCCTTGATATACACGATAGACCTCATGCATTTTATCTCTTAATTGTTGACTGTCCAGGGTGGTTTTGACGGTGGAAATGAGAGTGGTGAAGGGTTTCAGAAATCAAATTTGCAAGAACGAGCCAAACGGGGAAATTTGAAGGGATTAACATAGACTGACATACTAACGCCTGAGTTTTTTTTTTCCCCCTGTTAATGATGTTCTCCTTGCAAATATATAGCTCTAGAGATGCTTGGAGATCGTGGACTGTGGTTGCTTATACGCTACAAAAGCTGCCCCTTTTTTTCATATGTTTTGAGATATAAATTAGTAAAATTAGGTGAATAGTCCTTGTTGAGAGGTGATTAGTGAGGAAAGATAGTTTAGCCTAGCTAAACTGCTTGACTTACCCTTTGGTTTCAGCATCATTCTTTGTGTTTATGTTTGTATTAAATACATCATAATGTACTACAATTGTAATCAAGCCTTTCTTGGTCTGTATACTTTTCTCGAATACTGTTCAAAAGCTCCATATGATGCCTTGATTTTTCATTATATAAGCTCAGTAGAAAATGTTTTGGTTTAGCCTTAGGTTTCATCATCATTCTGTGTTTACAGTTGTATTGAATACAATGTAATGTACTTCATTTGTAATCAAGGTTTGCTTGATCTGTATTAAATACAGAGTTTTTTCTCATTTTAGAAAGACTGGCAAAGTTAATATAGTAAAAGTTTCACCATCTTGGCTTTATGATATCAGAATTAACTCATGCCAAACGATTACCGCAAGGTCGATATGAATGAAATCCACAAGGTCAATATGAATGAAATTGCATTGTGTATCAGTTGTAATATTTAGGATGACTGGAAATATTCACACATTGATTGGTGAATTAGCTGGATATTAGTTGGATTTTGTTCTTCTCTCTCCCCTCTCATTTTTGACCTTTTGAAAGGAGTATCTTCCTTTTTCGGGTGGGCTTGACTGGATTGTTGTGCTGACCAGAAGAAACTTATCATTCTGTCCGTATGCAATTTCTATATGGTGATTCTCTTTAGTAGTTTATTCTCCATGCATGATAGACAATAGCGATATTTTTTTCCAGTAATTTTAAATGTATTCTATGGCAATTAGGTATATAGGCAACCTAGGACAGAAGAGTTAGAGATCATAATCGTACCACTTAGGCTTGAGCCTGTCATAGACCTTAATTATAATGTTCTGTCTCAATCTAGTTGACCTCGGATGTAAGCACAGGCACACGTTTATTCTAGGAAGACATTCACGTATTCTAATAAGTGAAAATGTGAGCTATATTTATTTTGATTTTCCCAGATCTTTTCTAGGAAAGCATTTATATGTGGACAATACTGATGTATTACTGCTGCAATGTTAACTTTCTGAAGTGAATTTTGTTCTATTAAAATCTCAATAGCTTCACTCTGAATTATGGAATTAGGTGAGAAGTTTGCACTTCTAAAGTAGCAACTTCAAACTCTGCATGTTTAAAAAGAAAGTCCAAATGTTACAACATGAGAATCTCATTGGGGTTATTTCAAATGAGAAACAAAGCACTGGATCCCTTCAGAACACTAGAAACACCAGCAATTAACAAAAAGCTGTGTGCCAGCTTGATTCTCTGAGTTTTCTAATCACACACACGAGACCTTGCAAGGATTTTTTTCTTAAATCTAATACCGCTTGTTTTGTTTTGTTTTTAATAACAGCATTACGATTTTCTACTTTGCCAAGGAAGAGCAGGATGGTAGGTTCGTTCCTGCATTTCCTGAAGCCCATTTACCTGTGAAAATCTCCTTCCAGAAAGGTCTTGGCCAGAAATTTCATCAGCCTCCAGGAACAGGCATTGATTTAGGCTTCTTTGAGTTGGATGATCTCTCAAAATCATCACCTGAAGAAGATGTTTTTCCTCTTGTAATAGCTGCTGAAACATACTTGCCAGTTAACTTAACAAATGAAAATGATGATTCTGTGCCAAACACATTTCGCCACATGCAGATTACTCAGGCTGTTCTTGAGAGAAAAAATGGTGACAATTTCCATGTCAGAGTAATAAGGCAGATTCTATGGGTTGCTGGAGTTCGATATGAGCTCCATGAGATATATGGAATAGGAAGCTCGGCAGCTGAAGGCTTTGATGACAGTGACCCAGGGAAGGATTGTGTGATTTGCATGGCTGAACCTAAGGATACTGCCGTGTTACCTTGCCGACATATGGTGAGAGTCTGCCCTTTATCCTGTTCACTATTTTAAGACATGGCTATTAATCATAAGTGAAAAGCACTATGTAGTGCTCTTGCATTCATGCATTCACGCATAATGATTCCACACACTATTAAGGGTGATATTAGGAAGGTTGAATGTCTTATGCTTGAAATACACATCTTAAATTGACTGTTTGCTTCCAGGCACATGAGTGCAAGTTATCTGATCTCTCGAGTTTATTTAGTGGATATATCTCAAGGTCCCTCTCTCCCTTTCACTTGAGCAGTCATTTTCCATTTACAGAGATAAGTTCGGCTTAGTATTAACAGTAGTCTATGTGGAAATCTAGACTAGAAAAGTTTTTTCTCTATTGTTAATATTCAGCAATTGATTTGCATGGAGTTTTTTCAAGAAGGTTTTCTCAAGAGGTAATATTCTTACTTCTTTCTAGTGTCTGAATTCCTTGAGGAAACATTTCTGTACTCTGCATGTTGTTACAAGTTCAAATCTCTGTTTCCCTTTCCTTTTTATTTAAACCTCTATTCCTTTGTTCTCAAGTCATGTGTGTTGTGTCTTTTCAGTGCATGTGTGGCAAGTGTGCAAAAGAATTGAGGCTTCAATCAAATAAGTGTCCAATATGCCGCCAACCGATTGAGCAACTCATAGGGATCAAGATAAATAGCAGTGATCAATGAGAAACTCTGTTTTCTCATATAAAGTTGGATTTATGGTATAATGGTTAACTTTTTTTTCCCTCATGAATGTGTGTTCTAATATATATATATATATCCTTTTTGTTTGTTCTTATTTTTTATATATATAATTTTCTTGTGTCTTTGTAGAAGAATACTTTGTAGATCCAAATCTTCCAAAGAGAGAATTTACTAATAGTAAACATTAAACGAATCTTTAGCCACTTGTATTATTGCCTTTATATGTCCATGAAGCCACCTTTATTACCTCGATCATCTTATTCTTCCAAAACGTGTTTTTAAAACTAGGTTGTGCATTGTATGGTTTGCATCAATTTGGACGTTATGTACATGAGGTGAAGTGGCATTCATTTACCATCTCATTCCAAAACATGGTTGATGTAGTCCAGGAATATCAAATATCTATGTTTTTGCATGTCGGTGCCAGGACAGTATGAAGTTTTCCATGAATACGAGGTACGTGCATTAAAGTTAGGATTCGTGGCTGTTTCATATTTCTCTTGACACAGTCCACACTCCCAACCTTCATCATTGAATCCAGTTACTGTTGACATGTATCCATCATGTGTGCCTGTAAATTTGCTATTTTCATATGTGAAATGAACATGGAGATTCGAAAGGAAGAAAGAGAAGCTGCAAACAGCTTGACTGAATGAACACACTTGTAGCCTGTAGGTCGACAGTAGCAGCCTTTTCTCTTTGAGCTAACAGCCGAAAAGAGAGGCTGAGAGGGAATATTTGCCATCGAAGATAGAATTGAAGGGGAAAAATCGAGAATCTTCAAAGCTTATTTTTTACCTTTAGTGATATGTTAACGATCAGAGAATACAAAAGCTATGCTTTGATATCATTTTTTGCACAGTATTGCTTGCCAGCGAAGGATGTAGATATTTCTCCTAAATTGCGTTGATTCTGCATGTAGGTGTCTTGTATTAATTGTGCCTGTTAGAACGCCAGACTAGACTCATTTTTCTACAGTTTTGGACCTTGAAACTTTCCCTTTGATGTCTTCTGAAGTTTTTTAAGATCTGGTGTATACCTGTAAATTGGTTTAACCTTTGCACTCGTATGATCTGCATGCAGTTCATGTCATTTCTTTAATTTTGCAAGATGCTTTAGATCATTCAGGACATGGTTAACGTCGTATGGAGGGAATCAGGTGACCTCTGTTACACTTCATTTGAACTTATCCAGATTCCTTTTATCCTGTTTAACAAGTCTTGTGTTGATGCCAAATGAAGTCCTGAACTACTTGCTCTGCCCTGCATTATGCTGTTTGATACACAGTGCGCCTTTTCTTTTTACATCTATTTTGTTTCGAAAGAGAGGTAAAAGGACGAGGGAGGGAGTGGTGGGGGTAAGGCTAAAAAAGAAGGGAATAAACTTGTTTAAAGGGTCAGGTAAAAGGAAGGAGGGCATAAAATTGTTTTCTATCTCTGTTTAAGGACTTCATTAAAGCTATAAAATAGTCTCTCATTCTTTAATTAATCTTGATATTCCACTAAAAATTGTCACAATGTTTTCTTTGCATTCATGACCATCTAGATTAAAGAACAAGAATGAAGGATATTATGCTGTTAGGTCTATGCCACAGTTGAAATTGTGGCTGGAATGAAAAAGTATTATTTCTTTCGCACAATTCAAAACCCAGCATACCCCTCCATTGGCCAATCAGAATGTCAATGACTGCATTTTTTTTCACTTGGCAGTGTGCCATCAGCATCAAGAATGCATGAAAGCAACAAGCAACAAGCAACTGTCATTCCTTCCCACAAACTAATCTTGCTTCTGCCATTTCCAAATCACAGAATTATGTACAATTGCATTAATTTGTCATGAGGAGTCGATCATTATTAAGAATTTGTTCTTAAGTCACAATCATTTACTTCGAGAAAAAGGCTCGGAGGTACAAAATTATAGTATTAGCTAGGAATGATCATGGAAACAATTTAACTTTAATTTTGAATTTGGTACCACTCGCTCCCCCACCCACAGGATAGTGGAAAAGGCCATTTTGATGGGAGATGTCGCTCTTCTTGATGCTGCCCATCAGACCACCATTGACATGCATGCGTTTGTCTCAATCAGCTAGGGATGATGGAAAAATCACTGTGATAAATATCTAGGGGAGATAGGTATTTAAGAAGGAATAGATAAAAGTGGGAAATGTACTCCAAAATGGGCATGGTGGAAAGGATCCTTATGTGACAAGTCCTGGCAAAGATGAAAAGGAAGATAATGGAGTTACAGTGTGCAATTCCCTTGGACACATATAAGTCAAACCTGCCATTAAGTTTCTCTTACCATAATGCTATGGGAAGCTTTTAATTTCTTGGATTCATATGATGATGCTGAAGAGTGGCTATGCATGAGGGTTGTGGCTCTTGGTGATATGACTCCTAATGGGAGTGTGAGAGAGAGCATAAAAAGGAGAGAACAAAAAAATAGGGTCTGGAAAATTAAAGACTTCCATTATACATGGTCAAAACTTGTAGTAACACTATCATTATTTACCCATATAGACAAAAAATCTAGAGCTAGAACGAAGAAAGATTGTAGAGGGACCATGCATGTGATGATCATGGCAGCCTCTATAGATCCAAAAAAAATATGGCCTTCCAAGCCATCCATCAATATATATGTAGTCGTACATAATCCTCCTCTCATCAACCAGTCATAGTCCACACACCATGTGATTCCCTGAACATAAATAGCAGTTCCTGTGCCTAGTAGCCTAGGTGTTTCCACTTAAGAACTAAAGAGACAAAAGGAAGTAAAGCCAAGCTCGGAAATGGCTGTTAGGGTTCCCAAATTCATTCAAATTTACCCAACAACAGTTCCCAAATATAACACTCATCTTACCAAGTGGATGTGGGTGGGGGATACGTGGCTTGTATAGAGGCTTGAAAAGGGATACATATCGGCACACATGAAAATAAACAAACAGTGTATACATTTTGACCTTCTTCACCGTGACATAATTTTTAGCATGTGTAATTACCCAGGACGCAGCGTCTCTTTGCTTAAACAAGAGCAGGAAAGATACCTGGTTTATGTCATTTGTCGGCATTCAAGAACCTTTTTTTCAGGTAAAGTTGCACAAGAGTTTCTTACATCCCTATCAAACCACCCGGCCTGACTGAGTAGCTCAACTCCTTGGTCACCTGCTGCGACCTGATCCAAACCGGTTTTTAAAATATACCGGATGGAAGTTGATTTGCCCACCATTGACAATTTAATCCTGAACTGGTTCATCTAGTTAAAATTTAAGTCTTGACACTTAAAAAAAATGATGTTTTGGATTGATCCGAATTAAACTAACATAGTCTATTTTACTTATTACCCAAATATTGGACCGGAAGATAAACCAAAAGACTTTAGTTACATCACGATTTATGCTACTAGAACTACAGGAACAGCTTGGTGGAAAAGAAGACTTGAAAACAATAAAGAGAATAGCCCTACAAACGTGATACTGTTTTCATCTTTAGGCTGAGTTCGGAATAGCTTTCTCCACCTAACTGCTCTCAAAGTAAGACATGATTAAACCAAAAGAGCTTTCATTAGTTACTTAACTTGACCATGGCCACTTTCTTTTTAAAAGTTCCTTCTCTCAACAAGATAAGTATGCTTGGTTTTTATTTTCTTTGCCAATCACATGTTAACAGTCCTCCTCTGCTAGACCTGGTATCCATTTTTTTAACCAATAAAGGCAAAACTGGTGCTATCTATTATATCTAGCCAACTTTTAGCTTGTTAAGCAATTCTTAAATCGTTTCCGAAGAAATTTAGCTGTAAAAGTTGATAGCAGCATGTACAATATAGCATGAATATGATTACGGGCACATCTACACCTTGAGAAAGGGCTGACGCTCTTGGTTCCTGTTTGTCTGTACGTGCTTGTTTCCGTTTTAAATTGTATTTCAACTCCGAAAAACATCATTTTAAAGCTTCTTGACTTGAATCGTACACAAACAAATTTATGAATGCTTAGTTTGAACAGCAAGTAGACATGTATTTATGGAATGTACAGCATTATTATTTGTAGATCGGATCCTCTCACCATGTATCAATTCGAATATAAATGATGTATTGAAGAAGAATCAATGGAGGAAACACATCGTACAAGTGGGTTCGAAAACACAGCCTTCTGGGCTTGTCATCGAGTTATGAGCACGATTGAATCCATGTACTTTTTCAGAGAGTGTTCTTCAAAATGTTAGGCCGATGTACCTGCTAATGTTGACGGTGCCTTGTTGGCTGAGAGAAGTCAGTGCTGCAACAACCAGTGAGAGACTGTTAGCAAGGGGTCTCTACTGTGCTGCTACAAGAAGATTTCATTTTCTTGACAGCTTCGAACACCAAATCCAATGGAGTAATTTATCTTCGTTCCTAGTAACATGTAAATTAGGCCTGCGCAGGTCCCTTTAAGAACTTAAACGGCGTGGGTTTGAAGCAACAAATGGGCTGGGATTACTCGTGGAGTTGCAAGATAGAACTTGAAATTCAACTCGATCCAAGACTCAGATCGTGGGATGACTCGGGGGTCACGGATCAATTCAAACTATGTTTATTACAAAAAATAAAAAATTAAAATAAACTCTAATCAAATTCTATGTTGACGAACAGTTTCTTTTTCATTGTTCTGACATTGAAAATATATTTCTTAATTGTTTTTTATAAGCTGATATTCATTAATAAATGATAGAATATCTGGAAAAATGAAATAGTGAAGACTAATTATAATTAACACTAAGATAAATCTTGAGTACAATAGACACAAACAAACGAATAAAAACAACAAGGGCAAACATATTTTTTTCTCCAATTGTTTGTCTAAAAGCAGACAACGTACATGAATCTCCAGGATTTGTAGATCAAATTCAGCCAGCATGTAATATTTTATTTGCGCATGATTTAAGGATTTTTTTTTTCCAAATAAATGCAATTAAATTTATTTATACATGGACTTTGATATTGCTTAACTATAGACACGAAGCTAGAGAGAATTTAAAAGGAAAATTGTAGCGAATATCTTTCATTCTTTCTCCAAAGTTTGGTAGAATCCAAGAATCTTCAAGTAACTTTAAAGTTAAATGGAGTTGTCTTAATTACCATTCAGATCAAAGGTTTTTTTTTTTGGCTAACAATTCGAAGTATAATGATGACATAACAGGTGAATTTTAAAAGTAAATAACTAAATCAGTGGGTATTTTTTTTTAACTTTAAAAAAGTAGGAAGCCGAAAACCAATATTTGAAAAAGAAAACAAGATAAACAAAATAAAAAATAAACTAATAAATGCTCCAATATAATTTAAAAAGCTTGTTTGAGAATGTAGTTATAATTATTTTTTAAATAATTTTTTAAAATAAAATATATGTCAATAATTTTTTTATTTTTAATATCAATATATTAAAATAATTTAAAAATACAAAAAATATATTAATTTGAAATAAATAAAAAAATAAAAAAATTAATTTTTTGAAAAATACTTTTGAAACACGAAAACAAATATATCCTTAGGCTTTTCTTTAAACTTACTAGATTTTTTTCATCACAGTTGTATTAAATCATAACACCATTTTGAAAAACAAATAAAAAAAGGGTTTGGGTTTTTTTTATTGGTTCTTGGTAATTAAGAAAAAAGTAAACTTGTTTGAATGGAATGTTTCAAAGGATGAAACAAGGTTTGTTGTAATTATAGTTGTCTAATCCTATTTGAAAATTGGTCTGAAAAAAAATAAAGAAGGTTTAGTTCACTTGGTCAATGAGTTAGTCCACGGATCATAAATTAATTGTTTTCTAATTAAAATATATTTTTTTAATTGATGTTATATCAAATTTAAATTGGATTTTACTTAATCAATCACATCATTGAAAACCTTTAATTAATAGTTTATCAAATTTAATTAGAAATTCAATTCAAATCAAGTTAAAATTATATAATTCATGAGAATAATCCACCCAAGTATCAAACCAGGTTTGATAATTATAATTGTACATTAATCCAAATCCAAGAAAACATATCCCAATCCAAAACATTATGCAAGACGGTGTGTGTTAGTGATTTGGCTGGACAAGTCATTGCTAAATGTTTAAAATAGTAGATATTATTTTTTAAAATATTATTTATTTAAATATATTAAAATACTTTTTTTATTTTTTAAATGTATGATAAAAGAAAAAACCCAAGAACTTATAAAATTACAGCTGAACCTTAGCGATAAACTCCCTCCTAATAGGTGATGATAAATACTCGAATGCAGCGTTCAAGCGCAATAATTTACAAGCAACCTAAAAGCACAAAGGTTTTAAATGGCAATATTTAAGACAGCCACCCGATTTGGGGAGAGAATCTGAAAAGAGTTCATTCACATATGATGATAATGGTTATCAAAAATTAAAAACAAATCCTCTCTCTTTCTCTCTATCACGTGGTAAAACTAACTGAAGAGGCCAGGCCAAGCCAAGCCAAGCCAAGCCAAGCCTTCATGAAATGGTTCAATGGCTTCTTAGTCAAGTTGTAAGAAAAGATTGAGGCTATGTTAGAAAATCTAAAGCGGGCAACAGGGCAGGCAGCTAAGCAAAATATGCACACCAATAAATAAAGCACCAAAAGAGAGAGTGAAGCCTTGCAAGCACGACGCTCTCTGTGGCACTCTATCTAATTTGCTTCTCCTATCTCATTCTCTCTCGTCCTCCCTCTCTCTTGCCCTGAAATAGATGAAGCAGAGCCAGAGAAATTTAGTGTGCACCCAAAGCTTTTGATGCACTCCCCCCTCTCTTTCCAAAGACTGAGCCTTGTTGTTGTTGTTGTTGTGTGTCTTGTGTCTCCTAACTTACTCCGCTCAGAGACTTGAGTGAGACTCATTTGTTTTTTCTCGTTTGTCTTTGTTCCTGTATGTGATTTTTCTTTTTCAACTTAAAGACCCAAAAGAAAGAACAGAGAAGAATCCATTGTGGGAGTTCTTGTAAATTTTAGCTCCGTCTCTCTGTTTCTCAGATCTACCAGCCAGCTAGCCTTTCTTTCTCTTTCTAGTGCTGTACCTTTGTGTTTGTTTTACTTGAGTGGAAAAATATGAGTAAAGAAGAGTTCTTGAAGATCCAGGTACCCATTTTCTCACTTCTTTCTTCACCCATTTTCTTCAATTCCTTTGCTCATCTTCACTCAAGCTTGTGTTTTTCCCTTTGGTTTTCTTCTTGCTTTAGAAAATCCTGATTCTTTTTCGCTCTATCTTATTTTGTGACTCATTATATTAACAACCTTTTCAATTTGCATATTTTTTTGTTGCTTTATTTTCGATCTCTCTTTTCACTTTGCTTGTGCATGCAGACTTGCGTTCTCAAAGTGAATATCCACTGTGATGGATGTAAACAGAAAGTCAAGAAAATACTGCAGAAAATTGATGGTATTGTTTCCATTTCTAACATAGCTAGCTAGCTAGCTCCATTCCCTGTACTCTTGAAAATGCTACATATCTGTTTTCTTGATTTGGGTACTCAAATTTTGATTTCATTTACCCGTTAGAGGACTGATTTTTCTGTCTCAAGTTCTCCTCAATCCTCTTTCATTGCGCATTATTTCTTTTTGTTGATTTTTTTTTGGGGGACATGGTTTATTTCAGGGGTTTTCACTACAAACATAGAATCAGAGCAAGGGAAGGTAACAGTTTCAGGTAATGTAGACCCGGCTGTACTGATAAAGAAACTAGCAAAATCAGGTAAACATGCTGAGCTTTGGGGTGCCCCAAAGGGAAACAACAATAACCAGAACCAGGCAGCCAACCAGAACAAGAACATGCAAATTGATAATGGCAAAGGAGGTAACAACAAAGGCCAAAAGGGTAATAACCAAAACAATAACAACCAGCAGCCCAAAGGTGGCCAACCAACCCCTCAGCAAATCCAAAATTTTCAGCAGCTTCAACAGATGAAAGCATTCCAAGATATGAAGTTGTCTCAAATGAAGGACATGAAAATGGCTCCTAACCCCCAGCCGCAGCAGCAGCGGCAGCAGAAAAATGTAAAATTTGCACTGCCTGAAGACGATGAATTTGCACTGCCTGAAGACGATGATATGACTGATGATGAGTATGATGATATGACTGATGATGAGTATGATGAAGATGAGCTTGATGATGAGATGGATGAACCTCGACATCAATTTAGGATGAAGCAAATCATGGTTAATGGCCCTCAAGGTCCTGATAACATGATGATGAATGGTATACCTCCCCAGCTCCCGAACGCCCAAAAGGGTGCTCCAAATGGTGGTGCGAATGGTAAAAAAGGTGGTGCCGGGGGAGGTGGTAATGGAGCTGTGCCTGTTCAGATAAATATGGGTGGCGGTGAGGGTAAAAATGGAAATGGAGGGAAAAAAGGTGGAGGTGGAGGTGGAGGTGGTGGTGGTGGTGGAAATCAAAATCAAGGTGGCAAAAATGGTAATAATGGAGGTGGTGCCGGTGGTAACAAGAACAGCAATGGTGGTAATGGTAATAACATGCAAATGAATGGGGGTAGAAAGGGAAATAACGGGGTTGGTGGTGCTATGAGTGATGGATTTCAGAAAATGGGTGGACCCCAAGTAAACATGGGCCAAATGGGCGGCATGCCCATGGGCCAAATGGGTGGCATCCCTGCAGTTCAAGGTCTGCCAGCTTCGGCTGCCATTGGTGGTGCAGCCGGTGGTGGCGCTAATGGATACTTCCAAGGAGCTGGACCGGATCTCCTACCTGGTAACCCATACCAGCAGCAGCAGTACATTGCAGCAGTGATGAACCAACAAAGGGCAATGGGTAATGAGAGGTTCCAGCCCATGATGTATGCGAGGCCCCCACCTGCTGTAAATTACATGCCTCAACACCCACAGCCATACCCGTATCCATACCCATACCCGCACCCGCACCCAAATGGGAACGATCCATACACCAACCTTTTCAGTGATGAGAACACCTCAAGTTGTGATGTTATGTAAAGGCTCGCAGCTGCTGCTGGTGGTGGTTCAGGTTATAGATTCAACCAACTTGGAGTGACTAGAAAGTTCTGAATGCCTATACATGCATGAAAATGGGTTTTCATTGTAGTTTTTAATATTTTTTCCTCTTTGATTTTTTCACTTTTTTATATTCTGTTTTGGTCCAAGTGGAATTAGGGTTTTTAATTATGACCAAAGGGGGAGTAATTATAGATAATATTATATCTATATATATATATATGTTTTTAAAGTTTCTAGGAGTAGGAGACTCTTCAATGGAGCTTTTTATATGTTTTTATTATATATTGCAAAATGATGATGATGCAGCTACAAAGAAATCTTCCCCATTCCCTCCCCAATTCTACAAGGTCTTAAACTTCACAGTTCCTCGCACCCCCACCCCACCCTTTGTCCTCTTGCATTTATCGAACTGTTGTTTCAACGCCAGTGATCCTCATCATGATCTCGTGAGAGGTGGGCCTCACCCTAGGAGTTTAGTTATTGGAGGGGTGGGCCCACACGTCATTTATCTAGGGTATCGGACCCTACTCGTAAACACCGGAACTAGGTGCCACCGGTAAAACAAGATTATTATAATGCAATCGTATTTACCTGAGAGTATATATCACAGCGACTCTTTACTGTTTGAAAATATTAATTTAATGCTTTCAAACTAAGAACATTGCTTAAGAGTATTCAGTTCTCCCATGAGTGTTTTTGTATTGTGTTAGTAGTTCTCATGGTGGATGGAAAGAAAAAAAAAGAAGTTCCAGGAAAAGATGGGTCGCGGTTTTGTTTTTACTGAAAAAAATAGATTTATATTGTGGCATCTCGAACATCACACGCTGCACCCAATGCCAAACTGAGCTTATAAACCATGCAGCAGCAGAGGCCAGCCACACCCATTATTGATGGTCAAGGATTCGAGCCGTCTTCACATGGTTCTGGTGGGCATGCTCCCCACTCTGCGACTGCCAAATTGAAGAGCATGGAGACGAAGACAAGCAGATTGCCTTTCAATTCTTGAGAAATCGAACGGCGTTGACACGAGTTCTGGTTAATGTTTCTGTATAGTCTTATCAACAGGAAGAGCATCAAAACAGGCCCATCCCCACCCATCAGGTGTCGTATTTGTCACCGATGATGGTAAAATGGGGTCGTCAATAATAGAGGAAAATAAAGAAAGGGAAAAAAGAAAAAAAAAAAGGAATTCTTACACATCTGTCTAATCAGACAGTGAAAGCGATAGATATGAGGGTCCCTATACATACTTTACTCAAAATTCTGTTTTCCTTGAATTTTACTTGCATTTACGATTTTATCTTATTGTTTTTAAAATATTTTTTATTTTAAAAATTATTTTTAATATTAACACCCAAAATAATCTAAAAATATCAAACTTATTAATTTAAAATTAAAATATTTTAATTTTTTTAAAATATTTTTAAAATGCGAAAAAATAGAATTTAATTCCATAACTTCTGACATGACAATTTAAATTGTTTTTTAAAAATGAATCTTGTTATGAAAATATTCGTTTGTTTAAATTGTTTTTTGAAATTCAATCTTGTTATGAAGATATTTGTTTTCTTTTAATAATCTCAAGTATATTATAAATAATTTTGAAATTAAATCTTGCTATGAAGATATTTGTTTTCTTTTAATAATCTCAAGTGTATTTGAAATAAATTATTTTAAATACATTTGAATTAAAGTATTAAAACGCAATGTCAAGTCGGTTTAGCGGATCCATCTAGATCTGGCTAGTTAAGTTATTGAATTTAAGTATATTAATATAAAGTTGACCGTGTTAACCTATGATTTTTTTAAAAATCATTCAGTAAAACAGCCATGTTTTAAAATTAACCTGTATAATCCATCATAATGATAGCCACGGGACAAGCTGTATTTATTAATTTGGAAGCTACGTACACAATCATGATGTAGCACAGGATTGATCAATATTTTTCTAGGGAAGTATAATGACACTCTCCCATGAGATACATGTGACCTCATTTGTGTATATGGTCACGCTAGCTCTTATTTCAGGCCACAGTTACACGGGCGGGTGCAGGTGGGAGCATTTAATGAGGGAGGGATGAGCTCGAGATCCAAAATTGGCTGGGGCTGTATGGTCACAAGCCTGGCGAGCACCATTCTTGATTCTTGCCTGCCTGCCTGCCTAGGGGATGCCACCATACACTTGCACTTGTTTGGCATGCCCGGTGACACGTGGAAGGACAACGAGCATGGCTTTGATCGGAAGCTAGCCTGAAATCAGGATGCCCGGGGACGGACGACGGTCGAAGGTGGTGTGAGCTTTGTTTTGGATGCTTTTCTGTATGTGGGGATGCACATTACACACAGCTCCATTTTACATGTGTTCTTATTCTTTTTTGACTTACAACTCTCTTTTAATTATAAATTAGGGAGAATGTTAATGGCAGGCACTGACATCAATCATTAAATATATTTACCATAATTGTAAAACCCGAATACAAAGCAAGGTAGTATCACTAGTTAGTTGCTAGGGTGAAAAAAAATTTCTTTTACAAAAATAATGGATGCAATATTGTTTTTGATTATTTTTAAAATTAATTAATTAAAAATTGAATTTTAACCTGGTTAAAGTCTGAATTAATTAGATTAATTAAAGTCTCAGTAGATTAAATCAACAAATAAATTTTAGTTTTTAACGAGATTAATTAAGTTTTTTATTATTTTTAAATTGGTTTTTTTATTTTTAAATCGGTTTTAATTTTATAACTATGATGTTAAAAATAATAATTATAATTTTTAAAACTAACTATAATATTAAAATTAATAATTATAATTTTTATAAATAAACAGAAACTATATAAAAATAATTCATGGCTCTCTTTTTTTTGAAGAACAAGAGAGAAAATATACGGAATGGCTTCATGATTTACATATAAATTTAGTGATAATAGTTGAGATTTTATTCATCAAAATTAGTCATTTAAAGGATGATTAATCAGGGCACAAAGAATAATAAAGTAAAAATAAAAGAGGAAATATTATATAAGGGAAGCAATTATTAGTGCAAGTAATGAACAAGAGGTAGCTTTTGCAGTAACTTTACCATATTTGCAGGAGAAATACAACGGAGTTTGAAGACGAAAGCGAAGATATTTAGCGTGAAAGCAATAGGAAATAGAGAAAGGATATCACTCATTATCAGCATGACGATGATAATGTGTAATAATTATAGTAGCTGTATTTTAAAGTATTTTTTATTTATAATTATATTAAAATAATTTTTAATTTATTTTTAATATTAAAGTAATTAAAAAATTAAAATCTTAAAAAATCATTGATTGAGCGGAGGTACCAAATATGAGGGAAGATGACGCAGCAACATCCTACTTTTGTCTCTTTTACATTTTTTTGTTTTTTTGACCAGTGGGATTGGAATGCTGAATTTTCTCGTGGGCCCTTCTTTCATGGGAGTTTTCAGTTTTCCACTCGCGTTTGCCATGTCAAACTTGAAGGGAAGGTTTGAGATATCAGAAGACTCGTCTCTAGAAAAAGAGAAGAGGGAAAGATCCTAAGGCTAGAGACTTTCGAGAGCTTGTTTTTTTATTATAGAATTTTTTAAAAAATATTAAATTAATATATTTTTATATATGTTTAAATTGTTTTTATGTATTGATTTAAAAACATTAAAATATCATTTTAATATATTTTTATTCAAAAAAAAGATTCAACTATAATATTAAATAAATTTTAAATTTGAAAGATTATAGAGTATGAAAATATATGATAATATGTTTTGTAAAAACATTTTTTATTTAAAAAATATTAAATTAACATATTTTTATATGTGTTTAAATAGTTTTTATGTACTGATATAACAAAATAAAAATATTATTTTAATATATTTTAATTAAAAAATCAACTATAATATTAAATAAGTTTTAAATTTAAAAGATTATAGAGTATAAAAAATTATAATTATACGATCAATTATAAAAATAGTGAAAAAATATTGACTTGAAATAAAATTAGAAACTAAAACAACTACACTATTTTATAAAAAAAAATATTTAAAAAATATATTTTTAAGTTGACTTTTTTATTTTTTATTGAACACTAAAAAATAATTTTTATTTTATTTTTTTATTATATATGAAAAAATAATTTATTTGTTTGAAATTATTTTTTATATAATTCGCTTCTCAACAAATAAATGACATGTTTGAAGTAGACATTAAGAATGAGGGGGACATAAATTAGAGTTTTTTTTTAAAGTCATTATTGGTAGATTCCAAAGGAAATTATACGAAGAAATTAAGATTACTTTTAACTCCGTCAAGTTAACTCTGTTAAATAATCATAATTTCTTTTTTAAGAAATTAAAATTATGGTCCGAAACTATGGCTTAATTATAGAATTAAGCAACTTGCGGGGGGTGGAGGGGATGGCTAAAAAATCGAAGTTGTATATATCACCGAAAACAGCAATAAATCCAACGTTGTCCAGGAATCGAGAAACGAGGTGGGTCCCTCTGTTTCGTCTTGAGCTGAGCTACTATCCATACCAATAGGGTCCGCACGCTGTCTCAAACAAAAAACCTACCATTTTAAGTTCCGACAGGCAGCACTAACGGAGCTAACAAACGGCGTGAAGTGTGATAATTAAAAATTCAAAGGTACCAAAACTCATAATTACGAATCAAGAAAAGGAAGGAAAAGGCAAATCAAAGCACGCTAAAGAAAATTCGTACCATCGAACGATTAAAACAAAAGAAATAGTTTAAACCTTATTTTCACGCTAGTTTTTAAAACCTAATTGGATTTTAGTTTTTGTTAAAACACCTGGTTTAGAGGTTAAATAAATTAATAATTTTTAATAAAATTAAAAATAATATTATTTTAAAAAATAAACTAATGAGTTCTGAATGAATAACCATTAAATTGATCAAATACTTTATATTAAAAGGTATTGGATTTTGATTTTGTTGTGCATTCTCTCCCAATATAATGTAGATTGGAGCATTGAATCTTTTTATCATATTTCACAATATGATGTAGATTGGAGCATTGAATCTTTTTATAATTCTTACTTTGATTTTTAAATTTTTATTTTACATAATTTGATTTTTTTAAAATTTAAATTAACCCTCAATTACATATTTTTTAGAAAAAAATGATTGAAGTGAAATTTAAAGGATAGG